TTTACAATCCCATGGATACCTAACAGTCTCTTTATTCCCTTGACCCACAACCAAGTTATCACTAAGAAGGTATGTTATAAAAAAGTTGATGTTCTCAGGAGCAAAGGAATATTCTAGACTTAAGCCATCAAACTCATGACATATTATCTTTTTTAAACTTTTTATTTTGTATTGGGGTATAGCCAATTAACAAACAATGTTGTGATAATCTCAGATGAACAGCAAAGGGACTCATCCATACATACTCATGTATCCATTCTCCCGCAAACGCCCCTCCTATCCAGGTTGCAACATTGAGCATAGTTCCCTGTGCTATACAGTAGGTCCTTACTGGTTATCCATTTTAAATATTCATGCTATGACATTAAAGCCATCATGGATCACTTGTTTATGTACCTGTGCAGACTTAAAACTGTATTTTGAGAAAAAAAATCTGACTTCTACTGAGAGTACCCCCATAGTCACCTGCAACCAACTATGGAAGACCAAGCTACCAAGAGTTGGCTAGATTCCTTAATTTTCACAAAAATAAGTCACCTTTATCAAAAGCTCATGTCTAACATATATTGGTTTCTTCTGAATAAATAGAATATTTGTACTTTCTGTGCTCAACCAAAAATGCAAATTCTACCCAGTTATTCTACTTTTGTGATTCTACTTTTAACAGAAGCCTGTTGAAAGATGGACTATTCACATATATGAGGATGATTGTTTCAAGAAAAGTAGCCCAAACATTCTATGGTTTAGGATTTATCCTGGAATCGTGCCCAAATCCTTTTCTCTACATGGAGAAGGACAGCGGTCCAACCAACATAGTTCCATGGAGGTCACAGATCGTGTACACACCGTGTACAGAGTGTCTTTTACCCAATTATTGCAAATAATGCTGAAAACCAGAGAGTCACAGAACTGGGACCTGAAGTTGCAGTTGAAGACAGGACAAGATGGTTCAGTAGCAGACAGTGAAATGTGGGAATCAGATAAACACAGAGATAACAGCATGGAGAAGTGTGCCAAGAGTGCAGGAGGGACAAATAAAAGCAACCCCAGCATCTATCTGTTGCCCCCAGCTAACATTCTGATGTATCCCTCACGGCTTACTTCTCTCTTACTGCTCTGAGACATTCTCCACGACAGTGCACTATATTTAATGCAACTCCTGTTCACTTTTTAAATCAAAATCATGGATTTCTGTTTCTTTCCTTGCACTTATTATAATTTTTATTTATCATTTATTTACTTGTTGATCATCTATTTTCCTCTCTACACTGTAAGTCCCCTGGGGTCAGGAACCATGTCTGTTTTGTTTATTCCTAGTGTTTTCGTAGATCCCCGAATGTGGTTGGTGCTCAACATGTTTTTTTTTTTAACAAATAGATGAGTTAGTGCTGATGATCTTAAAAAGGCCGTCCATGAGACTATAAGCTCTGAAGCAGAAGGAGAATGTCTTGTTTGTCTTGCTCTCCCTAGCACCTAGACCCTTAGTAGCTGATACCTTGCAAGAACTTAAATATTCTTAAATGGATTAATAAATGAAATTGTCTGTTACAAGAAAAACATCAATGTATCATTCATCTTAAGATCCTTACATAAATTGGTGACTTCTGATTTTCTTCAGTTGCATTTATTTTCCAAATCAAGGTACTTTTTAATAGATTCTAACATTAGTTTCTTTCTACTCCCTTTGTTACTATGTTATAATAATGTAAGTTATTTTTCTCTTATGGTTTTCCAGGCAGTTTATGAGCAAATGTTCAATGAGTCCTTTCTGTTTCTCAGTCAGATGGTATTGATGAATATAACTGTGAAAGGCATTTTCTTTTTAAAGATGAAATCATGGGCAGTTCATATAGTTTCTCATCCACAGATATATTTTGAACTCATCAGGATTTTTTTAAAAAAAAAAAAAAAAAGCTAACATATACAAATTGGAAGAGAAGCTTGTGACTCGTTTCAAACTAGAAAAATCAAGCCAGATTTTTGTGATTTGTTTCTGGCGTGTTGGCCCATCTATTTATCCTGACTATGCTGGCACAACAGAGAAATACATATTTATAATATTATACACACACAAACACACAGTTTCTTCCCCCAAGGAGCAGACAGTGCACCAGGAAAGATAAGATATCAATTCAAGCAACCCTAACAAATACCAAAGAAGGCCAGTATGATCCAAAGTAATGGGAAAAAAGTAATAAAAGCATAGAACAAGGAAAAGTAGGTCATTGATGATTGATAAAATCAGTGAATGCCTCATGGAGAAGGTAACATTTTAGGATGGTCTTAAAGTGGCCTCACCTCAATAAATAATATAAGTAACACATAACATTATTTGCATACTTATTATTTTTCATTGGTTTGCTTCATGGTTCAGTGTTAAAGAATCTGCATGCAATACAGGAGACCTGGGTTTGATCTCTGAGTCCAGAAGATCCCCTGGAGAGGGAAATGGCAACCCACTCCAGTATTCTTGCCTAGAGAATCCCATGAACTGTGGAGCCTGGTGCAGAGTCAAACACAACTGAGTGACTAACAAAACAACAATTATTTTGAATCAGCAATTCAAAAGGCCATTTTCAATATCCCTATGTGTTAGGCAAAACACTCTCCAACATAAACCACAGCAGGATTCTCTATGACCCACCTCCCAGAATACTGGAAATAAACGCAAAAATAAACAAATGGGACCTAATTAAAATTAAAAGCTTCTACACAACAAAGGAAACTATAAGCAAGGTGAAAAGACAGCCTTCAGAATGGGAGAAAATAATAGCAAACGAAGCAATGGACAAAGAATTAATCTCAAAAATATACAAGCAATTCCTGCAACTCNAATTTAGAAAGATGGTAATGATAACCCTGTATGTGAGACAGCAAAAGAGACACAGATGTATTGAACAGTCTTTTGGACTCTGTGGGAGAGGGTGAGGGAGGGATGATATGGGAGAATGGCATAGAAACATGTAACTTATCATATGTGAAACGAATCGCCAGCCCAGGTTCGATGCATGATACCGGATGCTCGGGGCTGGTGCACTGGGATGACCCAGAGGGATGGGATGGGGAGGCAGGTCGAAGGGGGGTTCAGGATGGGGAACACATGTACACCCATGGTGGATTCATGTCAATGTATGGCAAAACCAATGCAATATTGAAAAATAAATAAATACAACTGGAAAAAAAATATCCCTATGTGTTGTTACTAATGTCAAGGAAAGCCTCTTGGGTAGTCAGCAGTTGCATCTCTTAAAAGATCTCTAAAAATTAAACTATGTGTGTGTTTGTGTATGTGAATTTTGTGAAATCAATACAGTAAAGAACAAGAGAAGATAACATTTTCAAAACATTTTGATGAGCTATGTTTTATCATAAGACAAATTTAAAATCTTAAAATTTTATGTTATTTAGTCCACTTTTCTTAAAGTGAAAAAAAAAAAAAAGACTTGGGAATTCCAATCTTTCCATGACTACTAGCTGGTCAGCAGCATTAAGAGGTTTCCCCCCACCTACATATTTCCCACTTTGATCTAGTTCTGTTGCCACCATGCTATAATACCTTTCAGATAATAAAGTAAGATTTATCATATTACAGTTTACATTTTTCTGCTTGCCAATTTTGTATTCATAGAAAAATTAAATTAATAAAAATCTTCCCTCTCCCACTCAAAAAAAAAAAAAATTAAACAGGGAAAGTTGGCAGTGGATACACTTTCAAATGGTTATCAAAATTTTTTTAATTATAATAATACTTTTAACACTTACCTTTGGCACGAAGTACATTAAGCACTTTTAAAGTGCATCATTTCATTTAAACATTACAACAGCCCTATAAAGTAGGCATTAGCCTGTAGTGTTAGTCATTCAGTCCTGTCCAACTCTGCAACCCCTTGGACTGTCTCCCACCAGGATCCTCTGTCCATGGAATTTTCCAGACAAGAATACTGGAGCAGGTAACCATTCCCTTCTCCAGGGGCTCTTCCCAAGTCAGGGATGGAACCCAAGTCTCCTGCATTGCAGGCAGTTTCTTTATGAGTTGAGCCACCAGGGAAGCCCTTAAAGTAGGGATTAACTAATGTTTATTTTTACAAAGAGACTGAAGCAGGTATGATTTAGAATCTGCTCACTGATCACCCAGTTGATAAATAGAAGAGTTGGGGCTTGGACCCACTAGAACCCATGCCCTTAAACACTGAGCTACTAAGACAAAGCTCTGTAGAAAGGAGATCATATCCGTTAACTGACTCCAGACCGCACAGCTTGTATTATATCCATGATTTCATCTCCATCACCTAGCACAGTATAAGCCTACTTTATGTTATTAGAATAAACATGGATTACTATTTATTCAGTAGTGCTGACTCATTAATCAAAACTTAATCCAATGTGATTTATTCTTTGCTCAGAAAATAATTATTGATCTGATAGTCACTACATGTTGAATCGTATTATAGTATCTACATGAAAATACCTAAGAAGCCCAAGGAGGTAAGGCTGGAGGTGGGGCCCTAAGGGCAGGCTCAGTGGGGACTAGGAGAAGGGCGGACCCATTGTTGGGGGAACACGCTTCCTGAGGAGGGGGACACCAGTTAGGGGAGGACCAGTACCAGGAGGAAGCTGTGCGCGGAGGTTGTGGAAACCGCGAGCGACAACAGGTAACGCTCCAGGCCTTTCCTCCGCGGATTCGGAATTTCTTTTTCCTCAGATACTCTTTACTTAGCACTTCCTCACAGTCTCCTGGTTCGAGACAGAAGTTTGACCCAGCCACCTCTCCCACCCCAGGGGATTTTTTGTCGTGCTGTAGAGTTGAGCTCCTAGCGACACCAGAATGGGAGTAGAGGAAACCAGGAGCCCTAGGCCTCAGGGCAGGCCTCACGCAGTGTGGCGAAGGGGGTCGGGGTTGGGGAGATAACACAAAGCTATCCTGGGGTGTGGAGGGCCGGGCTGAGCAGGGTGGGGGCGAGGGCAAGGAAGGAAATGGGGCCGCGCCCACTGTGGGGGTGGTTGAATTTGGTGTTGTGGAGGTCATGAGTCAGTCCTGGCTTCTCAGCAAATCCAATCACTGAATCAGCAGGCTGTGACCTAGTCCGCTGGGCAAGTAGACCATACCAACTGAAGAGATCTTGATCTTGTCCCTCCTGCATTGGAGGAGAGGTAATGAAGACATCTATAAACAATCAGATGGCTTGGCCAGTATGACAAAAAGTGAGAGCGTGTGTTGATAGTCAGTGTAATGTTAGTGATGATTTTATGAGGAAAAACACCTCAAGGGTCTGATTAGGAGGAAGGAGTTGGGAGAAATCAACCTCAAATTAAAACAAACTTAGTTCAGGAGCCAGATTCCAAGACAAAGCTCTAGTAAAACCTTTTATTTCTTTAAAATGTTAGGAACTACAGAGAAGACATACAGATGGCCGGTAGGCACGTGAAGAGATGTAGGTCAAAGTTATAATGAGGTACCACATTACACTGGTCAGAATGGTCATCATTTAAAAGTCTACAAGTAACAAATGCTGAAGAGGTTGTGGAGAAAAGGGAACCCTGGCACACTGTCTGTAGGAATGTAAATTCCTACAGCAACTATGGAAAACTGTGTGGAGCGTCCTCAGAAAGCTAAAAGTAGAATTACTATATGATCTAGCAGTCCCACTCCTGGGCATATACCCAGACAAAACTGTAATTCAGATGTATGCCATGAACCCCTATGTTCATAGCAACACTATTCACAGTAACCGAAAGATGGAAACAACTTAAATGTCTAGCAACAGATGAATGGATAAAGAAGATATGGTACATATACACAATGGAATACTACTCAGCCATAAAAAAGAATGAACTAATGCCATTTGCAGCAACATGGATGCAACTAGAGAGTATAGTACTAAGTGAAATAAGTCAGAAAGAGAAAGAGAAATACCATAATATCACTTGTATGTGGAATTTAAAACATGGCATAAATGAACCTGTCTACAAGAGAAACAAGCTTGCAGACATAGAGAACAGACTTGTGTTTGCCAAGAGGGATGAGAAGGAGGAGGGTAGGGGAGAAAAGGACTAGGAGTTTGGGATTAGCAGATGCAAACTGTTATACTTAGGAAAGGTGAAGAACAAGGTTCCACTGTATAGCACAGGAAACTATATTTAATATCATGTGATAAACCATAATGGGAAAAAACATATGGACATAGCTGAGTCACTTTGCTGTATAGCAGAGCATGACACAACATTGTAAATCATTTGTACTTCAATAAAAAAAAATTTAAATAAAAAAATGTTAGAAATGAAGAAAAGTTGTGAGGAAAGATTTTGCATCATTACTTCAGATTATCCTATAAATTAAACAAAAATAGTATATTAAATTGTGGTGAATTCTAAATTTTACCCCAAAAGGAATTTTACTGCATTTATCATGGGATGCCATTGCAGTTAGTCTTCTGTCTTAAGGATCAAGTTTTAACTATTTAAGAGTTTTGCTACTATATGTGATACAGAGGGTAATAATTCAGTAAACTGAAAATACACAGCTAAAATTCAAATTTAAAACTACTAATAGTTGTTAATGCAGTATAATATAAAGAGGGAAAGGAAATGAGATTTCTTTATAAAGTAACAAATTGTCAGACAATGTCTATGTTTTGGGGTACCTCATTTTAAACAATATGTCCCCAAAATTACTTTGAGTAATTATTTTAGGAATTTGACTTACCTTTTACTTTGGACTGGGGCTTCCCTGGTGGCTTAGAGGGTAAGAGTCTGCCTGCAATCCAGGAGACCCGGGTTCAATCCCTGGGTCGGGAAGATCCCCTGGTGAAGGAAATGGCAACCCACACCAGTATTCTTGCCTGGAAAATCCCATGGATGGAGGAGCCTGGTGGGCTACAGTCCATGGGGTCGCAAAGAGTCAGACATGACTGAGCAACTTCACTTTCCTTTACTCTGGACTACTTATCACTGCACTATCACACACCAGGCATTGGCACATACCCTATCCTCCATCTAGAATACCTAAATTTCACATTTTTATTTTCTTCTTTGTGTTTGCTAGAGAGAAGTCTAAAGACAAGTATCTCATACATTTAGATTGTTTTAATCCTGATTCTTCTAGACATCCTTCCACCCTCAAATGTAAGTACTTGCTGTTTTGCAAAAGTCAGTTTCTCCATCCTAACTAGATGAGCTTACCTCTGGAATTCTGCAGAATTTCTTGTGATTGATTCCACAGAGCTGAAACTGGAACTCTTATTCTTCACTTCAGCAGTTAGCTGGTTATACCCCAAAGTACTCTTACATAAAAGAATAGAAATACTTAGTGCTTGCTTTGAGCATATTAATTTTCTTATGTTCTTTATTTACCAAACAGGTTGCCAGCCAAATAAATAAGAAAATTAATTGTATATGTCTATTCAGGCTGCTGCTATAACAAAATACTACAGGCTCAGTGGCTTAAACAACAGAAATTTATTTTCTCATAGTTCTGGAAGCTGAGAAGTCCAACATTAAGGTGACATCAGTGTTGATAGCTCGTGAAGACCCTCTCCTTGGGTTTCAGAGAGCCACCCCCTCACTGTCTGCTCACAGGGCCTGCCCTCAGAGTGAATGTGTGGAGAGAGAACAAAATCACTCTCTTCCTCTGCTTATAAGGCCACAGTCTTATCAGATTAGGGCCACACCTTTATGATTTCATTCAATCTTAATTTTCTCGTAAATATTCTATATCCAAATATAGTCACAGTTGGGTTTAGAGCTTCAACATAAGAATTTTGAAGGAGACATAGTTTAATTCCTAGCAATAAGCAGACTACCAAGAAGTACCGCAAAAATTATTTGTGGCATGATAGCTAAATATTTTAAACACTTTAAATTGAAAATACATACAAGTGTCTGTCAGTCATGTCCAACTCTTTGTGACCCCATGGACTATAGCCTGCCAGGCTTCTCTGTCCATGGAAATCTCCAGGCAAGAATACTGGAATGGGTAGCTATATTTAAAAGCCATGTATCAGATTTAGTAATGCATCAGATTTTAAATGCAGTCATACTGATGGCAAAGAGCTGAATGATGAATGGTGGCATAATTTTTGTGTAATAGGAACAAGTAACTTCTACATATGCACATATCATTGCACTAATTTTAGATTTGTTTAGAGAAAACTTGGCTGGAGTGGGTGTGCAGAGGAGTAGAGAAGCCTTAATTCATTTGATCATTGTTAATAATGGGGGTATAATAAAAATTCTCTTGAATGCAATACAGAAACTTTAGTATTTGGACTATTATTATTATAGTGCTTTGTATTTTATTTGTTTGTTTGTTTTAACACTATCTACTCTTCACTAGTTTAGATATGAATCAAAACAGCGAAGGATGTATGAAAAAGATTAGCAATGTGAATCTTGACAAACTTATAACTGACTTTTCACAGATAGAAAAGGTATGTAAAGATATCAAACAATTGTAGAATATAAGGAAAAGTGTAACAGATTTTGTCAATGGAGGGAGTTAGGAAGAAAATATATATATATACAAAAAAGAAGCAAGGTAAAAATAATGGGAATGTATTTTTTAAGCCCCCTCTCTCTCATTTTTAAAATCTGTATTTAGAATGTATGTGGTTGTAACTCATTAAAACTAATATCAAAATGCTTGGGGGGCAAGGGAGCAAATAATTGATATACTTTTGCTAAAGTTAAAGGGGAAATACATATGTATATACCCAGGATGTCCATAAACTCAAGAATGGTTTAGTAAGGATTGAAGTAGATTCAATCCTCAATCTCTTACTGTTATGACTAATTTCCTTTCTAGTCTTTCCTGTTCCATCTGTTCCCTTTTCTCTTTTGCCTAAAAGCAAACCGGTTTGAAGTCTCCCTCTCCAACTCTACACAAATTATATGTCAGACCATATCCTCAAGTATATACTAGGCTTTTTGTCTCCTCTGCCTGGGAGACGAGTAGGAATATCTGTTGAGAAATGTAAGTGGATAAATCAGATTTGGGAAGCGGATTTGTGAAACAGGAATAGGAGGAAAAATAATCCCTACCTCTATTTTCTCTTTTTCTTATCATCCTTCTATATTCCTTCTTTTCCTCTGCACAATGTAGTATTGCCATCATAAAAAAATTTTCATGATGATGGGTATTTTCATATAATGAGCTTTTTTCAACAATGGACTTATATATTTTTTTTAACCAAGTGATTCTGACCAAAGTGAGAGATGAGAGAGAAGGAAATAACACTTTGGTGGGAGAGGAACTGGTACAAAGTGTTTGGAGCTTAACTTGGAATTATCTCTCATATTCTTAGATATTTTAAATTAGAAATATTGTTCTTTTTTGATGTCATAATGGTATTGTGATTGTACTTTTGAGTCATCTCTTAGAGAGGCATATAAATGATAATATTTATCAAAGAAATAATATAGTGTCAAGGAGTTGCTTTGAGATAAATTCAGAAGTGATGAGAATAGAGAATGGGTAGAAGTATAGATTATACAGGATAGGTTATGAATTGATGATTTTGAAGGTGTTTAACTGGTACATGGCAGTTATTACATTATTCACAAAGATATATATTTGAGAACATTTATTCATTGTCTGTAATAGCAGAAAATGGGAACAGCACAAATTTTCCTCAATAGGGAACTATTTAAATAAATCATATTCATGAAAGAAACTCAATGAAGCTGTTAAAAAGAATGAGGTAAGACTTTTACATGCTTATGTGCCATCATCTCTGAGAAATAAGTACTAAGTGGAAAATCCAAGGTGCAGAACAGAGTATAATGTGACCCTTTCCTATAGTTGTGTAGTCATAAAATATTCTGGAAATATTTATAAGAAATGATTAATATCTCTCTCATTTTTAAAATCTGTATTTAGAATGTATGTGGTTGTAACTCATTAAAACTAATATCAAAATGCTTGGGGGGCAAGGGAGCAAATAATTGATATACTTTTGCTAAAGTTAAAGGGGAAATACATATGTATATACCCAGGATGTCCATAAACTCAAGAATGGTTTAGTAAGGATTGAAGTAGATTCAATCCTCAATCTCTTACTGTTATGACTAATTTCCTTTCTAGTCTTTCCTGTTCCATCTGTTCCCTTTTCTCTTTTGCCTAAAAGCAAACCGGTTTGAAGTCTCCCTCTCCAACTCTACACAAATTATATGTCAGACCATATCCTCAAGTATATACTAGGCTTTTTGTCTCCTCTGCCTGGGAGACGAGTAGGAATATCTGTTGAGAAATGTAAGTGGATAAATCAGATTTGGGAAGCGGATTTGTGAAACAGGAATAGGAGGAAAAATAATCCCTACCTCTATTTTCTCTTTTTCTTATCATCCTTCTATATTCCTTCTTTTCCTCTGCACAATGTAGTATTGCCATCATAAAAAAATTTTCATGATGATGGGTATTTTCATATAATGAGCTTTTTTCAACAATGGACTTATATATTTTTTTTAACCAAGTGATTCTGACCAAAGTGAGAGATGAGAGAGAAGGAAATAACACTTTGGTGGGAGAGGAACTGGTACAAAGTGTTTGGAGCTTAACTTGGAATTATCTCTCATATTCTTAGATATTTTAAATTAGAAATATTGTTCTTTTTTGATGTCATAATGGTATTGTGATTGTACTTTTGAGTCATCTCTTAGAGAGGCATATAAATGATAATATTTATCAAAGAAATAATATAGTGTCAAGGAGTTGCTTTGAGATAAATTCAGAAGTGATGAGAATAGAGAATGGGTAGAAGTATAGATTATACAGGATAGGTTATGAATTGATGATTTTGAAGGTGTTTAACTGGTACATGGCAGTTATTACATTATTCACAAAGATATATATTTGAGAACATTTATTCATTGTCTGTAATAGCAGAAAATGGGAACAGCACAAATTTTCCTCAATAGGGAACTATTTAAATAAATCATATTCATGAAAGAAACTCAATGAAGCTGTTAAAAAGAATGAAGTAAGACTTTTACATGCTTATGTGCCATCATCTCTGAGAAATAAGTACTAAGTGGAAAATCCAAGGTGCAGAACAGAGTATAATGTGACCCTTTCCTATAGTTGTGTAGTCATAAAATATTCTGGAAATATTTATAAGAAATGATTAATTTTAGGCCTGGAGGTTAAATAGTTGGAAAGAAGGGAGTTCAAATTAGGTCATATTTTTACTTTTTATAACTTCCTATAACTGTTCACCTATTTTAACTTTTTATTGTGTTACTCTTTAAATTAAAGATAAATTAGGAAGTTGACTTATTTAAAAATGTGTGCCAGACTTAATTATTAGACTTTCAGGTATTAAATGTTTATACTTTCATATTCTTAGGTTAAAAAAAAATCAAAATAGCAGCATTGATTTGGGGATAAAATGAATTCTGTTTTTTTCTATAGAAAATTATAGAATCCAGTGGGAAGAACAATATCCTGAATATGCAGTTAGAAAAAGCTAACTGTTTATTAAGAGTAATGCAAACAAAAGAGGTCTCAATGAAACAAGGTTAGTTCTTTGCTGCCTATAGAAACAATCATTATAATGAGTGTGCTTTTTGCTATAACAGTAATTTTACACTTGTAAAATATTTTTAATTCATATAGAACTTTTCAGATTAATATTTCATTTTGTCCTTAATATAGTCCTGAAAGACTGTATAGATAAGACTGGTATTATTATTCCACTTTGATAATGAAGAAACATGAACAAAGAAGAGTAATCTGTCTGCATCCAATCAGCTGCTGCTGCTAAGTCACTTCAGTCGTGTCCGACTCTGTGCAATCCCATAGATGGCAGCCCATCAGGCTCCCCAGTCCCTGGGATTCTCCAGGCAAAAACACTGGAGTGAGTTGCCATTTCCTTCTCCAGTGCATGAAAGTGAAAAGTGAAAGTGAAGTCGCTCAGTCGTGTCCGACTCTTAGCGACCCCATGGACTGCAGCCTACCAGGCTCCTCAGTCCATGGAATTTTCAAGGCAGGAGTACTGAAGTGGGGTACCATTGCCTTCTCCAGTCCAGTCAACTAAGCAATGACAAATCCAAGGCTCAGTCCAGGCCTTCAAACACGTGGAAAAAGTACAGTTGAATTCCTGCCTCACAATTACACCGAAAGAAACTTCAGATGGGTCAAAAATTTTAGTGTTAGAAAGATGTTGTCCTAGTCCCGCTCACTTCTCAGACATCCATGCCGTGTGCTCTGCTCAGCTCCCAGCTGCCACCATCCCTCCTTGTGTCTACTCTGCCCCCTTTCTGTGCACCCCTTAGCCCTCAGGGAGCGTTGGAGCCCGGGCACCCAGCCTGGCATGGTGCTACTCGTTGAGAAAGTGGCATTGCTCTATGGCACAAAGGTCTGGGGCTACACTCAGCTGAACAAGCTGCATGGCAACTTCACCCTAGGCCTGGTAGTGCTGCTCTTCCCATGCAGCTCGTTCCAGGCATCAGGAGAATGCTAGGTACAAAGAGAGCCTGAGTTCCCTCAAGTTCAGAGACTTTTCCAGAAGTGTATGGTGAGTGGCTTGCAGATGCACCTGCTCTGCACCTTCCTGTGGAAGGCCTTGCCCTGGCCCCCTGACAACCACTGTTTTCAACAGATTCCAAGCTCATCACTTGGTCTCTGTGTGCTGCAGTGATATTGCCTGGAACTTGGAGAAGTTCCCAGAAGGTTCATCTGTGCCCAACATGGAAACACTGCTATCCCAGGAGCCCAGCTCTGCCTAGGGCTCCCCTCCTACTTCTGCTGCTTGCCAGTCACAGTGATACCCTCTGTGCGGGCTTCATCCATATTTCCTCTAAACCTGCATGGAGAAACCGCCTGATGATCAGGAAAATCCCCCTAGATGGATGCTAGTCCTGACCATCCCAGCCTCCCCTTTTGCAGACCAAGCCTCCTTACTAATAAAGTGCTGGGCATCAGGAAAAGAAAAAAAGAAGCCATATGCATACACTTCCTTGTTATGTCAACTGAGAGGGCACATAATCCATAGCAGCAAGCAAAACTAGCAGCAAATTTCTTATACTGTCTTATTACAAAAGGAACCAGGACCTCTTGAAGAAATGGCTGATTCTAAGACAGGAGCAAGAAATGTATAAGTCTAAAGCATCTTGTAGTACCAGGAAATAAAGTTCTCAAAAAGGAAAATACTGCATAATAATGGAGTATGTCAAAGATACAGGACTCAAGTGAAAAAATTCTCAATGACCAAAGCTGGAACAATTTGAGCGACAAAATAAAGTAGTATTAGATTAAAACCCCAGGTATATCCATGAGTACATATTCATAAAAATAAATGAATAAATAAATGGAGTGAAGAGATAAATCTCTGCAGAATTCCAAATAGCTTATGTAAATGACTTGGCCTCAAGGAAATATAACGCGGCACTCATCAGGTGTGTGCTGTGTATAGTGATTTTCTTCACTATAGTGAAACATAGACTGAATGGAAAAGGGGGTGATAAAGAGTAGTTATATAGTGGGGAAATCTGACGTACACAACTTAAGGCATGAAATCAAGCTCAACTTGATGTCATGTTGATAGTAGTTACCCTTGCTATGATGTGATGAAAATGGCACTTTACTTCTATGTTCTTCCTCCCTATAACCTCATCTCATCATGAGGTAAGCATCACATTCACATAGAGGGATATCTACAAAAGACCTGGCCAGTAGTCTGAAAAACTTAAGTGCATCAAAAAACAAGAAAGCTCTGAGAAACTGTCACAGTAAAGAGGACCTGAAGAAGACATGACAACTGAATGTAACGTGGTACTGTGGATAGAATCATAGAATAGAGAAAGGACATAGGTAAAAATTAAGAAAATCAGAGTAAAGTATGCATGCGTGCTAAGGCGCTTCAGTTGTGTCTGACTTTGTGCAACCCTATAGACAGCAGTCCACCAGGCTTCTCTGTCATAAGATTCTCCAGGCAAGAATGCTGGAGTGGGTTACCATTTCCTTCTCCAGGGGATCTTCCCGACCATTGGCAGGCAGTTTCTTTACCACCAGTGCCACCTGGGAAGCCTGAGTAAAGTAGAGATTTTAATTAATAATAATGTATCAACATTGGTTCATTAATTGTAACAAACATACTGTACTAAAGTAAGATATTAATAATAGGGGAAACTTAGCTAAGAATATTTCACAACTCTGTAGCATCTTCCCAAGTTTTCTGTACATCTGTGCTCATTCACTCAGTCATGCCCGACTCTTTGCAACCCTGTGGACTGTAGCCCACCAAGCTCCTCTGTCCATGAGATTTTCCAGGCAAGAATACTGGAGCAGGTTGCCGTTTCATACTCCAGAGGATCTTCCCGACCCAAGTATCAAACCAGCATCTCTTATGACTCCAGCATTGGCAGGCAGATTCTTTACCACTAGCACCACATGGGAAGCCTGTCTATATATCTAAAACTGTTCTGAACAATAAAGTTAATTAAAGGTCAAAAAGTGAAGCCACAATGGAAAAGACTATAGGGAGCTTTGTTTTTATGTTTTTAAGACGAGGAAGCCTTTCCAAGTGTGACATCTATCAGTGGATATCTGGTTAAATAAATTATGGTATATTTTGTAATGAACTACTATATAACTGATAAAAAGAATGAAGTGTCTTTATATGATATAGCATAATCTCCCACATATAGTAAATGAAAATAATAATGTACACAGCAGTGTATTATCATTTTTACAAAAATATAGCTTAACACACAAACACCCTCTCCCCTGTATATTTGTAGATCCCTGGAAAGATAAACAGTGTCCTAGTAACAGTGTTTGCTTTGAGGGGAGGAAACTGGTTAGTTTTGGGGCAGAGATTGTCAAGATATTCACTTATCACTAAACTTGTGTTTCATGTATGTGTATTATTTGAAAAACATAATCAAATACTTCCTTAAAAATTAGTTATTCCAAATCTAATGACCTTTTTCTGAATAATACACAGTAGAAGTGAAAGAACAAGTGAGGATGATCTCTTAGAAAGCAGTGTGTACTAATTCACTTAGGAAGGAATCACATGTGTGTGTTCAAAAGTAAATCATGATATCTTTATATTTTATTTTCTTCACTTGATATCAGGTAAACAATGCCTTTGCCAGCTCAAGATGGTAACAATATTGATATTGAAGATCAAGTGCTGTTTAAAAAAAAGCCTTTTCATGCACATTTTATTTAATATTTCCAACTGATTTATGATATAGATATTAACACCCAAATTGCTTGTAATGGTAGAGCCTAAATTTGACCTTAAAATAGTCACTGATTTACTAAATTATACAATATAAGTGATAGCTTTTAATGTTCTGAGCTCTAGTTTTTAAGAATTGGATAGGATAATATTCTTCAAATTATACTGTAAAGTCCAACAGAAATGATGCATAGAAGTTTTGCAAAGAGAATTAAAAGCTATTATTCTAAAATAACGAATGATATTCTATTTTATGGGGCTTCCCTGGTGGCTCACATTTGGTAAAGAATCTGCCTGCAATGCGGGAGACCCAGGTAAAATTCCTTAATGAGCCAGTTTCCTGTTTTTAAAAATGTGTTTAGAGAGCCACCTTGTGTTCTAAATTTGAAAATACACAGTTTGGAAACATTCAGTATACTTTCAGTTTCAGGGTTCTGTTTTCAATTCGCTAATTACTGAGATAACATACTTTATGCATGCTGGATTCATGCTTCTAAAGCTGCAAGGACAAGTGATGGCAGGATCTATGCCTCCATTTTTAATTGCAGCAGCTAATACAGTAATATACATGAAGTAGGTAATATCAGTTGTCATTTAACCATCATTCTGTTACTGGGACTCAGCAACAGAACAAAATGGAGGATGGTGGGAACTTTGAGTTGGTGACAGGGGAGGTAGAGGGGGAAAGTGGGGGAGTAGGACCTTGTACTTGCATAAAGCTTTTAACTTCTACCGAATACTTTCTTTTCTATTAATGTAGTTGAAGTACATAGAGACTGAGTTATAGGACCTCTAACTGAAAACAGGAAGTTTTGAACTCTCCCCTCAATGTTGGTTTTCTCATTTAGTTAATAAATACAAAAACTATTGAACACTTATGAAATAGTCATCACATTAAAGGTAAGGATTATCAAAATAAGTATCTTTACCTGAAAGAGTTCACTATCTAGTGGGAGAAACCATCTACCTAAAATGTAATGTGAACGATGGATAAAAGCAATATAGACAAATCGTGGGACACAGAGGAGAGAAACAGTAACAATGGTAAATATCTGTGAATGAATTTAGAAAGTATATTTTTTCATTTGGTTGTCAGAACAACCTAATATAGGAGAAAAGTACATTACCCAGAGTGTCATAGTTACACAGTAAAGAAGAAAAACACTCTAATCCAGTTCTTCTGATTCCAAATTTCATGGTTTCATCAGCATGTTATACAATTCCCGAGGAAGTCTTGAGTTAAGAGCACAGGACTTGAAATGTGAAAAACCTGTGTTCATACCTAAACCTTCCATGTACTGTGGAATCTTGTTAAGTTACCAGATATCTATGTGTGACATCCTCCCTTTGTGAAATCAGGATAATGATGCCAACATCTCAGCCGCAGTTTGAATACTGATCATGTTTATAATGTACTTAATGTAATGCCTGACAGGGTAAATATTCAATAATAGTATTTTGATGTACCTAGACAACTTTTTATTGTTGGATAAAAGTATGTCACACTAATGCACAGTGGTTGAATATCCACTGTGGGCCTCAAAATCTGAATGAAAGAGAATCAGGTTCAATATTTAATAGCCATTGAGCCAAGCACATGAGAACAAAATTGCCTAATCTTTCTTTTTAAAAATACTGTTACTCTTTGTGATGTTTTCATCGTTATATATTTAGCTACTACAATTGTAAACTTAAACTAGTGCACCCTGGGTTTCTCAACCTTATAGTAAAAATGTGATAGCAATAACTATCACAGAGTCTTTCTCTGGCTCTATTTCTGCCCTCTTTCCAGGGCCTCTCACCTACTCAGATTAGTCTGAAGAAGTGATCCTGCGCTGATCTTCTTGGTGGTATATTAAAGTAGTTAGAATCATTGATGTTAGTGCTGGACTGCTCGAGTTCATGTTGTAGCTCTACCATCTATGACTTTTAAGTGTGAGTTTGGACAATTTGCTATACTGTGTGTCAATTTCCTCATATGTAAAAATGAGGCAAATACTAGAATCAATGTCATAGAGTTAAAAGGGTTAAGTGAATTAATATTTGCAAAGCACTTAACATAGCAGTGTGTTACTATTTTCATACCACAGTTTCTCCATTTACTCCTTTCCTACCATTATAATGCCTGTCAACCAAATCACTTAACAAATATTTATGAAATGACTGTGATGGACCACAACTCTTCTAAGTATTAGGGAGAAATGGCAAACAAGATGGAAGACAGTCCCTGCTTTCCTGAAGCTTACAGCCAGGGGCTGCTTAAAGTTACAGGAGTCTCCACCACTGCGGCCCCGCTTCAAAGGTTTAGCTGTTGCTGGTGATACCAAGAATATACATACTGAAAGCTTATTTCACATGTTGGGCTTGATTGCACAGAATTCTCCCATTATGTAAGAAGACTGGCACCAAAGTGGCTGATGCCTTGTAACCCAACACATTGAGTTTTTACTCTTTTTCGCTACTCCCTTGTCCTAGGACTCAGGCAAGAGGACAGTTTAGAGGACAGTGAGGAAGAAAAGCATTATCTTCTCCCAAGTGACACTTGCTCACCAGTTCTGACTCTGTATCTTTGAACAGAACTTCATGTTCCTTGACTCTCTTTCCTTGGAATGTTCTTTTTATGGAAAAGCCACTTGGATACATGCCTCACAGTTCTCCAGACATGTCCAAGTGTGCCTTATTTCTAGGGCAGCTGTTGCTAATGGCACATATAGGGAATCCCTACTTTACTGGGGTTTTCATGCCTTAGAAAACTCATAACAAAAGCATGGAGTGTGTTTAACTTAAAGACTGATTTAAAAAGTGTATGATGGCCAACAAGCACATGAAAAGATACTTAACACCACTCATTATTAAGAGAAATACAAATCAAAACTACAATGAGATACCACCTCATACCAGTCAGAATGGCCATCATAAAAAAAAGTCTACCAATAAATGCTGGAGTGGGTGTGGAGAAAAGGGAGCACTCTTGTGTTGCTGGTGGGAATGTAAACTGATACAACCAGTATGGAAGATGGTATGGAGATTCTTTAAAAAGCTAGGAATAAAACCACCATATGACCCAGCAATCCCACTCCTAGGCATATACCCTAAGGAAAAAAAATGGAAAAAGACACATGTACTCCAGTGTTCATTGCAGCACTATTTACAATAGCTAGAACATGGAATCAACCTAGATGTCCATCTACAGATAAAAGGATAAAGAAGCTGTGGTATGTGTATACAGTGGAATACTACTCAGTCATAAAAAGGAACACATTTGAGTCAGTTCTAATGAGGTGGATGAACTTAGTGCCCATCATACAAAGTAAGTCAGAAAGAGAAATATAAGTATTGTATATTGACACATATATATATGGAATCTAAAAAGATTGCTTTGATGAATTTATTTTCAGGGCAGCAATGGAGAAACAGAGATAGAGAACAAACCTATGGACATAGAGGAGGGGAAGAGTGAGAAGGGGAGGTGTGTGGAGAGAATAAAATGGAAATTTACAATAGCATATGTCAAATAGATAGCCAGTGGGAGTTTGCTGTGTGACTTGGGGAACTCCAGCAAGGGCTCGGTGACAGGCTGAAGGGCGGTGGCAGCGAGGCTCGGGATGGGGGGGACGTGTGTGCCGAGGGCTCATCCTTGCTGATGACAAAACCACAAAATTCTATAAAGCAGTTACCCTCCAATGTAAAAAAAAAGTGTGTATTATATAACTTATGTTGAGATATCTGGTTGCTTTATTAAGTCTCATAATTTTCAATTAAATATTATTTTAAGTATTTTTTAACTTTGAGGTAATAATTCCAAAACAAAAGTAAATATTCAAATAGACTTATCTTTTATGTTTTAGAATGTGCTACTCTTCATGATATGATAAAAGGGCTGCAGCATACCATTGAAAGTCAACATAATTTGAAGGGTAAGTTAGAAAAAAAGTAAAATCTAAAAAATAATATGGTTGTATTTAAGCATCTTTAAGAATAGAAAGTTTTTACATTGGTGACAGTAATCTTCTCTTAATCTGATCTTGTTAAATTTATCAGCTAAGAGCAGGATTCCTTACTATTCAATATCTTCCTAAATTATTGTAACATAAGAAATGTCATGCTGAACAGAACAATTCAGTCATATTCTGACAAGAACATCAGGGTTTTATAGTTGATTATAATAATTCTCTTTATTATTTTAGAAAGGTTAGAAATATATTTATTCTCAGTAGTATTCTTGGTCTTTAATAACCTTGTGTTCAGTTTTAAAAGATGGGTATATGAGTAATTACATCATGAGTATTCTATTCAAACTTCAGTGATAGTTTAGTTTACTATTTAGTTTCTGTCATTAAGTCAGGCTTTATTTGTGTAAATGAAGCTAACATCTTCAGCTTGTCTTACTTGGATAGTCATGCTAAGCCAATAGGCCACCATTGACAAAACAAGACAACCAAGTCTTTTGTCTTGCTTTAATTTAGCTACAGTGCAATGTTAGTGGCATTTTCCTCTACTATAATTAATTAATAAAAGTCGTTCAGTCATATCCCACTCTTTGTGACCCTATGACCATACAGTCAATGGAATTCTCCAGGCCAGAATACTGGAGTAGGTAGCCTTTCACTTCTCCAGGGGATCTTCCCAACCCAGGGATTGAACCCAGGTCTCCCGCATTGCAAGCAGATTCTTTACCAGCTGAGCCACAAGGGAAGCCCAAGAATACTGGAGTGGGTAGCCTATCCCTTCTCCTAGGATCTTCCTCTACTATGTTAGAGTTTAAACTAAATTGCCTCTATGGTCTCATAAAACTGACACCAAACAATACGAATTTTTTATCTTAGTCCTCTGCTTTTCTCATAATGAAACTACTTTACATATGTAGGGGCCATACAATACTGACCTTACATGGTATTTATTTGATTTGATGTGTTATTCCTTATAGTCTTTTTTTTGTGTGTGTGTGTGTGCTTTCAATTTTAATTTCAAGTTCTAATTTAATTTAATTCTAACTTCAAGTTCTTCCAAAAACAAGGTCCCAGGAAACCCCAGGTTCAACATGCTCCTGGGCTTGGTCCACTGCTGTCTTGTATTTATAGCTAAGTGTCCATTCACCAAGAGTAAAGCCCAGGATAGACCTGATAAAAGAGGACTTCCTCCTTCATGGCATCAGTCCTTTGCTGGTTTCAGAGGTGGATGGTGGTCATCACAGAAAACACACAGGAACTTTTCCTTGGAACTGAGGTGGGATGCAGTGCCTGCTGTGAACATCACCATGTTTCCTCTGACCCTTTCCTCCAGTTTCTGAAGATATATTCTAGCAGAAAACAATCTTCCTTGAAGATACTGAGTGACAATTCCATAAAACAAAAACACATGCTTCCAGTGCAGTTTTCAGGTACGCTGGGTTTAGTTCAGCTGCCGGATGAGCTGATTGATGCGTTCACCTCGATAGCCCGGCGAGCCCACTTCCTTGAGGAAGCCCACTCTGTTCTTCGTTGCATGACAGGCCACTGAGAGTTGGAAAGGGCGCAGGAACCTTGAGATTGCCTGGAAGTTCTTCCCCGGGAAGGCAATTTCGTGAATGAGATCTTCCAAGCAAATGACATCAAACTTCCCCAGGTGCTCCTCAATAACTGTGTTGTCTGTCAGAGGGATGACCTTGTTCTTGACCTTTGCTTGTCCATGTTTCAAGATAAGTTCCCGAACAGACTTCAGATTTGGAAATCCCCAGGTCACATAAGGTTCCACGATACGAAGCGTCTTTATGGTTTCAGGGGTCACTTTCACAAAGACACCACTGAAAATCTTACTCAGGCGAAATCTGGCAATGGTCCTTTCCACCACTGAACTCACCCCATTAATCCTCCTTCCTTTGCAAAAGCGCCTCTTTTGCCTGGGTGGCTTTGAGGGCCTGATAAGCCTTCCTCTTTTTCAGGAGATTCTCTGGAACCAAAGGGATCTTTCTTCTTGGTTCTTCCTCCGCCATCTTTTTCCTCCTTATAGTCTTTTAAGAATTACTATTAGTTCTTATTTTTTCCTCATTACATTACCTTAAAATATTTCCTCAAGTGTTAGTGAAACAAATATAGAAACTGGATCAGAAGACTTCACATGTACACTGCTCAACAGCATCTGCAGTTCATAAGGATTCATTTCCATGTTAATACACTACTAAGAGCTGTTCTGGAGATCAAGAAGGGTAGTAGATAGGGAACCATACCATCTCCAATATCTTTTTTAAATTTTTTCCTGCAGATGTCTGATTACGGTATGTCCCATAGGTTTTTGCTTGACTTGGTTCTAGCATCCTGCTCATTTTTTCCCAGTATTTGATCCCTATCCCACACCTGGTTTGGGCTTTCAATTTTCCATCTCAGTGCCAATGGCTCAGAACAACTTTTCCTTTCTCTGACTAAATATGACAGCCAGCTGTATTTTTTTTAATGTATCTGTTCATAATCCTTTATAGGATTCAACTCTTTCCAGGAGTTTAACTCTTTCCAGGATTTTGTTCACATAAAACATCTACCAGAAATTAACATTAAATACTTTGAAGTTCCAGAAAGTTGATAATTATAAACATGTTGAACATATTGCTTTATAAGAGATTATCAAATATCAACCAATAGTCAAGAATATCATATTTTCACAGATATGGCAGTACAGATCTTTTAATAATCCATTTCTGAAAAATGGATATGCTATGCTGCCTCTCAGAAAGAAAGTGATTCACTGATTTCATTTGTCCAGTGCTTCTACAGGTTTTGATCAACATGATAGATGTGAACTACCTGTCTGTCTTCTCTTTCATCTGTTTGATTCTCAAGATTGTATGGATAATTTGCTTATCAAGGTTACAGTGGTTGTAAATGTCTGCCTCCCTAGATACTATTTCCTTTTCTTAATATAAACCTGACTTTTTTTTTCTAAGATTCATTCTTAATGCACATGATCATATGCCTTGGGAGAAGTTAGTTACACCCCAACTCCAAGGAAGGGCTTCTGAAATATTTTCCTCTCTTCCAAAAAACTGTTCTTCTGGTTGTTGTTAAGTCTGCATATAATGCCTGAAATTGTTGCAGACTGTTTGCTTTCAACCTGAAAGTGATGACAACATTGAGGAGAGCAGCAAGAAGAGACTAAAAGGACATGATGTCTTGACTGCATTATTGAGTTACTGAACCAGCTGCCCTCTCAACTTAAGAGTTTCTTCAGCCACTATGAGAGAAATGATACCTCCCTTTACTCTCATCCATCAGTCTTTTCAGTAGTTGCTTATGGGCTGTGTAAAAGATGATCCATTGAAATGCAGAAAGAAAACAACACAATTCCCATTAATGCTTATTTTTTATTAAAAGTAGTCATGTACTAGAGAAGGAAATGGCACCCCACCCCAGTACTCTTGCCTGGAAAATCCCATGGACGGAGGAGCCTGGTAGGCTACAGTCCATAGGGTCGTGAAGAGTCGGACACGACTGAGAGACTTCACTTTCACTTTTCACTTTCATGCATTGGAGAAGGAAATGGCAACCCACTCCAGTATTCTTGCCTGGAGAATCCCAGGGACAGAGGAGCCTGGTGGGCTGCTGTCTATGGGGTAGCACAGAGTCGGACATGACTGAAGCAACTTAGCAGCAGCAGCAGCAGTCAGTCATGTATGGATGTGAGAGTTGGACTATAAAGAAAGCTGAGTGCTGAAGAATTGATGCTTTTGAACTGTGGTGTTGGAGAAAACTCTTGAGAGTCCCTTGGACTGCAAGGAGATCCAACCAGTCAATCCTAAAGGAGATCAGTCCTGGATTTTCATTGGAAGGACTGATGCTGAAGCTGAAACTCCCAATACTTTGGCCACCTCATGCGAAGAGCTGACTCACTGGAAAAGACCCTGATGCTGGGAAAAATTGAAGGCGGGAGGAGAAGGGGACAACAGAGGATGAGATGGTTGGATGGCATCACCGACTCAATGGGCATGAGTTTGAGTAAACTCCAGGACTTGCTGATGAACAGGGAGGCTGGGCGTGCTGCAGTCCGTGGGGTCACAAAGAGTCGGACACGACTGAGCGACTGAACTGAAGGCAAATAATTTGATGAAAATTTAATAATGGAATGTTATTCCTTATTCTTTCTGCATATCAGTTATACATCATTTATGATACACAAGATTCTTCTTCTCCCAAGGAGAGTAGGAGTTCTAAAACTAAACAGTTGCATCTTTATTTTTTCCTGTCTCAGTGTACTAATATGTAGTACAGTCTACATGGACCTGCTTAAGAGGGTTTATACATTATATTAACTACTTACAATCAAAATAATCCTTTCAACTTGGACAGTAGCTTTAAGAAATAAAACATGTTTGACAATAGCACTAATAATGCAAGCACAAATCAGCAATAAAAAAGTAGCAAAAAAAAAGTAGCAGAGCTGTCATTTCTACTCTTGTGCAAGTTCAGACACATTAAAAAGTTTAAAAATAATGAAAAACTATCATAACTGATGAAATGTCAGACAATGGTGGCCAAGTATAACTGCTTTGGAAAAAATCTATAGCAGGACTGTTTGCAAATGAATATTTAGAAATGGTTTCATCATTAAGTGATTTGGGGCCAAAAATGTGTCAACTTTAAATATTTTTACTTGCGTATTAAATTTGGCATAGAAATGCTAAATTCAATTAAAAATTCTTCAAACAATGATCTAATGATGATTCTCAACCCTTTGTTAAATGTTTGTTTTCAAAAATCTTTTGAGAGGCTTATAATAACATCAAGGAAGATGGATTTAACAGAATTTCAAAAACAAATCACTTTTGCATAATCAGTGTTTGGGACTGAAAAATGAGTACCTTAGACCCTTCATATCTGCAGGTCCTGCATCCATGGATTCAACCAACCCAGACTGAAAATACATGAAAAAAAATTCAGAAAGTTGCAAAAAAGCAAAACTTGAATTTGCCAAGGGCTACTATTAATGGCAGAAAGCAAAGAGGAACTAAAGAGCCTCTTGATGAAGGTGAAAGAGGAGAATGAAAAAGCTGGCTTAAAACTCAATATTAAAAAAACTGAGATCATGGCATCCAGTTCCATTCCTTCATGGCAAATAGAAGGGAAAAACATGGAAGCAGTGACAGATTTCCTCTTCTTGGGCTCTAAAATCACTCAGGGTGGTGACTGCAACCATGAAATTAGAAGACAACTGCTTCTTGGCAGGAAATCTATGACCAACCTAGACAGTGTATTAAAAAGCAGAGACATCACTTTGCTGACAAATGACAAAGGTCCATCTAGTCAAACCTTTGGTTTTTCCAGTAGTCATGTACAGATGTACCATAAAGAAGGCAGAGCACCAAAGAATTGATGCTTTCAAACTGTGGTGCTAGAGAAGACTCTTGAGAGTCCCTTGGACAGCAAAGAGATCAAACCGGTCAATCCTAAAAGAAATCAAGACTAAATATTCATTGAAAGGACTGATGCTGAAGCTGCAATGATTTGGCCACCTGATCCGAACAGTTTACTCACTGGAAAAGACCCTTATGTTGGTTAAGACTGAAGGCAGGAAAAGAGGGCAACAGAGGATGAGATGATTGGAAGGCATCACTGATTCAATGGACATGAACTTGGGCAAAGTCCAGGAGATGGTGAGGGACAGGAAGGCCTGGCATGCTGCAGTCCGTGGGGTCACCAAGAGTTGGATATGACTTGGTGACTGGACAACAACAAAAGTAACTATTTGCATTGTATTTATAACTATTTACATAGCACTTACATTGTATTAGGTGTTATAAGTAACCTAGAGATAAAAAAATATTAAAAAGATATACAGGATGTGCATGCTGCTGCTGCTAAGTTGCTTCAGTCATGTCCGACTCTATGCGACCCTATGCGACCCCATAGACGGCAGCCCACCAGGCTCCCCCATCCCTGGGATTCTCCAGGCAAGAACACTGGAGTGGGTTGCCATTTCCTTCTCCAATGCATGAAAGTGAAAAGTGAAAGTGAAGTCTCTCAGTTGTGTCCTACACTTAGCGACCCCATGGACTACAGCCTACCAGGCTCCTCCGTCCATGGGATTTTCCAGGCAAGAGTACTGGAGTGGGGTGCCATTGCCTTTATGCAAATACTATACCATTTTATGTAAGGGGCTGGAGTATATCCATGAATTTTTGTACCCACAGCTGTCCTGGAACTATAATCTCCAGTGGAAACCCAAGGATGACTGTGTTATGATTTAGTAAGTGCAGCCAGTGAATCATTTTTATCATCAAATCCAAGTATCAAGACAGCCTGAATATTAAAAATATTTTCATAATCAAAGAGTTAAATCAACATTGTAAAAGCTACTGATGCATTTCCAGTGGCATTATCCCACTAAAATTTATTAACAATAATAGTGATTCAATAATTTTAAAGTTTTATAACAGTGCTTTAAATAATATTAGAATAAATTAACATTTTTTCCTCTTTAGTTCACCTTAACTTCTACTTGTATCCATTTTAAGAATTATATGCAGTAATAAAGTAACATATATATATAATTTATAAATAATTAGACAAGAATTGGGGTGTACATTCTCATTATTTTTATTAACAGGGCACACAATTATGAGAGTTTAGAGACTATTAGTTTACAATATTTCACCTGTTTGTCACTACTTTTTAGGTTTTGTGATTTTTGTTATTTATGTTGGCCCGCCTATTCCCTCTTAATATTTCCCAGTTAAATCTGAGACAGTGGGTGATCCCTCTTACCATTCCCTGATGGCTCAGTAGTAAAGAATCTGGCTGCCGATGCAGGAGACTTGGGTTTGATCCCTAGCTCAGGAAGATCCCCTGGAGAAGGAAATGGCCACCCACTCCAGTATTCTTGCCTGGAGAATCCTATGGACAGAGGAGCCTGGTGGGCCACAGTCCATGGGGTTGCACAGAGTCGGACACGACTTAGCAACTGAACCACAGCAAACCGTCTGTGGCAACAGCGCTGGAAGTCCGT